ACAAGCCAAATGAAAAGATACAAATATACTTACGAAATCAAAGTCTCCATCTTGTGGTACTTTCCAGTTGTCGGGGAAAGCAGTCTTGGGTATGAGGAAAGCGTCCTGCTGGTTGTGATTGTAACTCTCCTGTGCTTTGTTTGAATCCTGCTTGTCAAAATAGTCCATGAAAGATGGCCGTTGGGCCTGTGGTACTGTAGGGTTTCCTACAAGTGGAATTCAAGAAAAATGACGAACATTAAGGTATGTATTATAACAGATAAGATCCTGAGTAAATCTGTCCACTTTCTGTGAAAGATGAACACTCACTCCTCATTGAGCCCACATCTTCATCCTCATCTTCTTCATCACTGTTTATCACCATGGTGCCTAGGTCCGACTCCAGCATGGTGCTGCCATGCTCGATCATGGTCTGTGCCCCGTCACTCATTGTGCCTGTTGCTCGCATGGTGCCAGCACTTTCTGAGCCAGATTTCACCATGGTATGAGAGTCCACCTCCACTTCTTCCTCCTACAGAACATACAGAAAGATTTGTCTAAAACATAGAGCACAGGTAGTTTTAAGAAATAAATAACTTAGACTGGGTTTTCCAAAATTATCTTGGCACAAAGATGATTCTTAAATGGTGAAGCAAGCATCACACTGAACACTCTATCAGTTAAGATAATCCCCAAACAGTCAAAAGTACTTTGGAAACATTAATAAAGCACTAGTTCTACCGAGTTATCTTCCTCCTCTTCCAGTTCTCTCTGCTGCTCTTGTTGTCTCTTTGCTTTCATGTCCATGGCTTCTGTGATTAGGTCCCTCAGTATGGTCACTGGTTTAGCATTGGTAATGAAAGGATGCTGCCAAATAAAACAGAATGAAAACTAAAACTGAAACTGTCTCAAGAGTTAACATTTATAGTTAATTGACCATCAAAAACTATATACATTTTATACATGAATGCAATCTTGAACAGCTTTTGTGGAAAGATCAAGATCAACTGTTTTTGTTATTAAAGTAACGTAGTTGTTTCCTTTAGTAAACTATAACTAGTTTAGCTGTTTTCCACAACACTGAAAATTTAGTAAACAAACAAGTGTCTTGCTTTCTGTAGTTTATCCTAAAATTTTGCTTCACAAACCTGTAACAGTTGTGTGGCCGTGGCTCTCTGTTCAGGGTTTTTCACAAGACACTTCTTTACAAAATCTGTGAAATCATCACTCCACAGCTCTGGCTTCCTAAATGTTGGTGGGGGATTTGTTGGAATCATGAAAATAGCCTATCGAAGAAGGAAAAAAGAAAATCATGAATATATGAAAAAGGCATCTTTTCACTATTCAGTGTAAATCATAAAAATTTTATACTCACCCTCATTGGATGAATGTCTGCATAGGGAGGCTTGCCCTCTGCCATCTCTATTGAGGTGATGCCAAGGGACCAGATATCTGCCACACAATTGTACCCAATCTCCTGAATCACCTCGGGAGCCATCCAGAATGGTGTACCAATTACAGTGTTTCTCTTTGCCATTGTGTCCTTTGGTAGACAAGCAAACAAATCACAAATCAGTGCTCATATTTTGCGACTGTATTAAAGTAGGCACGTCACATCAAAACCCCAAACACTTACAGTAAGCTGCCCAGCCACTCCAAAGTCAGCAAGTTTAGCATGTCCTTCAGTATTAAGGAGAATGTTCCCAGCTTTGATGTCCCTGTGGATTTTTCTCATGAAGTGCAAATATTCAAGACCCTTCAATGTGGACTTCAGGATGGTAGCAATCTCATCCTCTGTGAGCTGGACAAAACAGGAAAACCAGAATCATTACCCTCGAGACCAAAATTAAAGCATTATTTCCTCTTTCCAAGAACAACGTAATCTACTTACTGTTTTGTTACGTAATCTGATGATATCAGACACAGAGCCAGCACCGCAGTACTCCATCACGATCCACAAGTCTGTGTTTTTAAAATAACTGCCATAGTACTTCACCACATAGGGACTAGACAGAACACACAAATATCACTGTCAGCATCTACAGCTAATAGCAATACATATTAATCAGAAACCAGAATCAAAGAAACGTTCTAGTAATGAGTGTTGAGTCCTAAAAAATCAAGCAGAAGTATTTACCTGTCACATTGCTGCATGATAGAAATTTCCTTGATGATTTCCTGCAGGTCGGACTCCACAGGAACCTGCTTAATGGCCACGACCTGTCCAGATTCTTTGTGGATGGCTTTAAATACGCTGCCATATGAGCTGGACAAATATACATCAGCAAACATAGATATGTAGGTTAACTTAAAATGCATCACTGACATCCAGTTTAAAGGTAAAAAAAAAATGGTATGCAGAAAAATCAGTGAAACACATTTTCCTCATATCTTAAATGTAGACGATAAGACTTGTTTGGTGTGAAATTTGCTCCTTAATTTTGCAATGGAGCAGTAAGGCTATTGTAGTGACAAATAAGGGGAAACTATGTCACTTGAAAACTTTTTTGATGGACGATCAACGTTTGAGACAAGGAAATTTTTCGCCTACGTTTGAGATACGGGAAAAAAAAAACTTGTTTTCGTTTCACTTTAGTGCTCATTACCCTTCTCCAAGTTTTTCAAGTACATCGAAGACTTCCTCGGGTTGCTTGGTCAGACTGTCTTCGCTGAGCTTCTTCAGCTTACTGTCAAAACATACAAGAATACATTAAATCACTAAATAAAGAAAATAAAACTGTCACCGACATTTCTAACGCGACCCCTCAGCTGAGAGCTTCCGTTGCTACTGTAAACAGTGGTTAGCTAAATTAGCTAGCAACCAAGAAAAAAGAAAAAACGTTCATTATCTAGTACTCGGTTCGCATCGCTATCAAGCTACAAACACGGGCATCTAAATGATCATTTCTGAACATACAGCAGACCACAGCCAGCTCATTTCGGCGATATGAATGAATGTCTGTACTCAGCTCCGCAGTTTCGGATGGTATGAAGGCCTGTAAACAGCCATGTTTGTTAGCTGGGCGCTAACGTTACTTACTTTTTAGGCACCGGCTGCTCCATTGCGCTTAAAAACAAAAACTAAATAAATTACTACCGTACACTGTCCTTCAACGACCACTAAAGTTACAAACTCAATGAAAACAACGACAAATCATGACTTCTTGCGTCTTTCAAAGAACACCTGAGCCCTATTTTCATCGCCGTTTTCTCACAGCCGTATGAAGAACCGCAACCACTGACACACGGCAAAATCAAACTGACCATCAAAATAAAAGTCCGTACTTCTTACATGGGACTGTGTCAAAAACATTTAATTAACATTTTACATTTTAGAGCTAGAATGAGCAGTACATACTTTCGCTGTGCACATACAGTCACAAAATATAGGAAAATAAGCCTACAGAAAATCAAAATAGGCAACTAGACTGTCAGTGTATTTATGTTTCCATTCTTTCTTGCTTAGTGTAATTTAATCAGTCTGTCAGTTAAATGTAGTTAAATGTAAATATAAAATAATTAATTAACAGTAGAATATTATGTACAGGCTCAGTAATACATATCAGAAAAGGTTCTAATGGGGAAATACTACTACTCTTACTACAACTATTACTAATAATACTAATAGAAAACAATAATAATAATATGTCAATCCTTATTTATATAGCCATTTTAAATGTAAATTGTTCACCAAAAAATCAAATAAGTGCTATTTTCCCTTACCCCAAATAGTCTGTCAGCTAGGTGAACATAACAGAAGTCTAGTTACATTAGCCATGTAGCTTTAGCGCAAAAGTAAAGAAGCAAACTTTAGGCCCCAAACTTGTCCTGACCATGTTTGAGGTGATTTTTTATTGAGCTGTTTCTTTACCACTAAACATTTGTAAACGTACATTTAGGGATCTAAAATCTATGTACTTTTTTTATTATTTACCCTATGGAAAAAAACAAATAGTCAGAACATCCACATTACTAGTTTGGCAAGTCATACACTGATCACGAGTTGGACAGCACCAGGCCGTAACTGCTGCAGCGAGATGACATTAATTGTGCACTAGTGACTGTTTCAGAATAACGCACCTGAAGTAGCTGTCTGTATTCTGCCTCTAGCAGATGTCAAAGTGCACGCTGTCAGAGAACAGTGCGCCGTCAGCATATACACATCACACAGCACATTACAGCAAAGTGACTTGTCAGTCATGGCCCATGGTCACTGTTAGGGCAGATTCAGAGCAGCCAATCAGTGATAAGGAGAAAACAGGAGGCGGGATGCTGCTTAGCAACTGATCACTGAGCAGCACCGCATCACTGTCACCATTAAAGCTGTCTTTAAAAAAGATAGCAGGGATTGTGAGAAAGAGGAGGGGAAATGGATGTTTGGCATGAATGGCACAGTAATGCTTTCATTGGACTAGAAAGCTGAAATAAATGAACAGGTCCTACATGGAAAAGTGTGATATGATTTATTCTAGCAAAATGAACATTTCAAGTAATTTTTCATAAATTATGTGTATTATATTTCAAGGTGAATCATGTCATTATTTATATAAATAATATTAACTAAATATTAATAAAACGTATTATTATTGTTGTTGTTAATCAATATACTACTACTACTACTAATAATACTAATAATAATAACAACACCACAAACACCACCAATCATAATAGCAATAATAAAAATCACAATAATAACATTAGTAATAATAATAACCATCATATCATCATTATCACAATCAACATAACACAACAATAATCATCATTAACAACAGAAACAACAATATTAATACTAATAATGACAATGCTTAAAAAAATCTATTTAAAAACTTCTTTTGTGATTAGCTGAAAGCTTCTGAACACATCTGTACTATTCCAGCAGCTGGACAGAGCAGAGTTATGTGTGCTGGTCACATCACTGTAGCCCGAGCAGATGGAGTCAGAGTGGGCACGTAGCATAGAGCAGCAGTTTGTAATAGTGGGGTATGGACGGGGAAGAGGGGGGATGTGTGTGTGAGAGTGTGAGAGGGAGGGAGAGCCACCAGGGGGGCGGATATCAACCCGGCTCACAGGCAGTGGACTGCATGCACCGCGTCAGAGACGAGAGGACACACAACACGACACGGTTCATAATACCACAGCCGGAGCAGCCATAACAGCAGCAGCAGCAAAACAAGCACCTCCGCTAAACCTTGCACTCCAGGAGCTGGTCTGCACCATCAGCAGCACTAACGGACACTTACAACACTGAGGTCACACAGAGGGGAACTGAGTCAGTGAATGAGTGTGTATGAGTGTGTGTGAGCACTGTTGTGTGAGTGAAGTACCCTAAGAACAGCGGTTAATGAGTGGAGTCCAGAAGAATGAGTCTTGACCCTGTACAGGTCATGAAGGGCCAGGACCCCATGGCCCTTAGCTCTCCTCTAGCATCTAACGGAGACAGCAAAGCATCCTGGGAAGAGAGTGAGGGCTTCTGTGACAGCCTGGGTCCCAAAAAGCCAAAATCAGTAAGTTCAGACACGCTCTATATTTTTTTCTTTTCTCCTTCATCAGTTTATGACCATAATAACTACACTCTTAAAAATATAGGTTTCTCAATGGTTCTTTGTTTGGATGTACTGTTTCTGAAAAACGACTAACTAGCATAGAATGTTTACATTATGTGGAGGTTCTTAAACCTCTTAGATCACAGACTCATCATTTGGTTACTATTCTTAAGTCTGATTATTCAAAAACCTTTATAGATTGCACAGTAACTACTTTGTAACTACAGCTTCTTAAACTGCAGACCTATTATTGTCATTAACTTCAAATATTATTATTCAGAAAATAGTCAAAATTACATACAAATCACTGTGTAATTTCAGCTCCTTAAACAGCATATATATTAGTAAGTTATCGAAGTCTTATTGTTCAGAAACTATTAGAAAGTATATAGTTACTAGTATGTAACTACAACACCCTGCAGGCTTGTCATCAAGAAATAAACGTCAAGTTTTAGTATTCAGTAACTATATGAAATTATATAGTAATTACTATATAGCTGCAACCCCTCAAACTGTAGGCTTATTACTCAAGTATTCACCCCAAGCCTTATTTTCAAAGACTATTAGAAATTATATAGTAACTACCATGTAACCACAATCCCTTAAACTACAGACTTATTCAGGTGCTCATTTTAAGCTATATCATTCAGAAACTGAAAATGTAAAATTATACATATAATATATATATATATATATATATATATATATATATATACATAATATATATACTATGTAACTACAAGCTTATTAATCATATGTCTTATTTAGTAATAACTGCATATCATGTGGTAACTACTATGTAATGACAACTTTTTTAGCATTCAGTCTTATTTTTCAGTAACTTTTTTAAGAGTAACGTGCACATAATGCAGATTGAAGCTAATGTGTATGTTTTAAGACTGTGGAATTGAACCCTATAGATTTTAAAGGGTTAAACTTTAAAAGCACATATTGTTTACAGAAATGGTTCTTTAGGTTGTTCAGGGAACTAAAAGGTATGTAGAGTGTAGATTTTCCTCTGTTGGCTAGAACACGCAAGGCTGCAGGACAGTTCTATACAGTGCAGCATGTCAGATGTTTACATTGCACACGTGTTTCTCAGGTCATCTGTGCAGCTGCTTTTTCGCTGCTCTCTCTCTCTCTCTTTCTCTCTCTCTCTCTCTCACTCTCTCAGTACCTAATTTTATAAAAGAATAGACGAATGTACAGTCTTACAGGTTTGCTGATCCTCCTGATGCAGGTGACCCTGTTTCCTTTAAACGTGATCTGTCTTTGTATGATGAAGATTAATTTCTTCAGTGAGTTTTAATCAGGAAGAGGACAGTTCAGCCTTTAATGTTTCTGCTGTCTGGCTGTGTAATGATATTTGTGTCAGGCTTGATAAAAGAGAAACAGAACACAGCTACAGTTCCAGGACAGGCAGAGGGGCAGGAGAGGGGCGGGGGTTAAAGAGAGAGTGAGCGAGTGAGACCAGGCCGTTAAGTAACGGAGCTAAAAGTGGAGAGATAATTCCATTTGAGCTGCAGCAGGTGTGGATCATGTCAAACGGGCCACCGCTTATTTCGAGTGCACTAGCTCTGCGGTCAGGATATCGCTATGTCGTCTGTCAGATGGGACAGCAATAAAAATGTGAGACTGCTGATGAGGACAGGGCTGAATTACAGTGTGACTTGCTGTATACACTCTATATGTAAATACTGTAGTGTTCATGGTGTTAAAGGAGTCCAGTATTTTTCAACTTAATTTGTTTCTGCTGTATCTGTGGCCACAGAAAATAATTTCAATGTGTTTGTACTTTATGAAGTACTTACTTACTTACTTATTGAAAAGAACAGAAAACTTTGATACAAATCTCACTTACAGCAGAAGTCAGTGGGCAGATGCTGATATTATGCACTAGTTTTAAGTTACTGGGTTTCTATTCTTTTTTTAATATAATCTCTCTCTCTCTCTCTCTCTCTCTCTCTCTCTCTATATATATATATATATATATATATATATATATATATATATATACATGCCTTGCATTATACAAATCTTACAGTATTCACACACACGTTTTTCAATTTTTTACATAATTTATCAATTTATGATCAATGGACCAAAAAATCTCTCAGTCCATTGACTTACATTAAAAGTAGAGTTTTTCCTTCTCCTGTAATGTTACCATTTTGGAGATACAAGGTTTTCTTATGACAACATCATCAGAGAGAGTTAGAGGGAAAGAGAGAGAGTTATACAGGGAGATATATATATATATATATATATATATATATATATATATATATATAGAGAGAGAGAGAGAGAGAGAGAGAGAGAGAGAGAGAGAGGGGGAGAGTATTTGAATGGATGCTTTTCCTTGAGCAGCTTTGTGAATGAGACATGCTGTCTCTGTGCTGTTTATGCTGAAGCTGTGTGTAGCTGTTTGAAGTGAACAGCCAGTTTGTCAGCACTCCACCATCCATGCCCTTCTCTTACACAGCCTTTAATTCTCTTCTGGCTCCAGGAGCTGCTGGCCTTTCCCCACTCTATTAATAAACTTGTTTCCCTCTTTACCCTTCGCTATCTTCCCCTCTCCTCATATTTGCTCAGTACCTGGCCTGCCTTCCACCAACTGCACCCCATTAGCAGAGGGAAACACCAGAGCTGTCAGAGTGACTCATAGCCCTAGAGACCGTTTAGTGTGGTTATATTATGGAGGATTAGACCAATTATAGCTGAAGAAGTGGGGTGCAGGAAACATAATGCACTATAACCATTCCATTCTTCATCCCACAAGGCTGATATTTTTTGTTCCTTTCTGCACGATTCAGTGTTTGAGATATAAACAAAACCATTCAGAGAGGTTTGATGTGGAATGGTTCACTGTAGAGAAACATACTGACTACCCATTTCTTTATAATGGTGATGACAGGAACCGGGGGTCATGATGTCTACAACACAAATACAGCCATTTTATTTACCATTCAAAATGACCAGTGAACCTGCACATGTCTTCATATGTTCATATGCTTTTATATGTAATGTTGGTGATGGTAAAATAGTGGTAAATCTTTTGGGGACTACTTAGCCTTAGAACGGCCTATATGTACCTCTTCGCCTTTAAAAAAATTGTTTTAGGCCAAAATCTAATCTCAAAACTATCATAAGACAATGTCTCAGGCATCAGGCAGCGTATTCCAAACAGCTTTGTATAATAACTTTCTGACATTAACCTCTTTAGACATCTGGTTCCTATCTGTGAACAACTCTGACTTCAGTGTAAAAAATAAATGTTAAATTAGTTGACTATACTTAAGTAAATCACACAAACTTATTGTCTCAAAAAATTAAAATAATTAACAGGATCAAGCTTAAATAACCGTTAGTTATTACTATTACAAGTCACAAATTTTCAGTGATCCACACTTCTGCAGGAAGTAAGATTAACTCAAACCATCCAATAATTATTAGTGGTTTCCACTGAGCTGCCAGTGCTCTACTTTTACAAGTTCTACTTACTTTTGTATTAGTTAGTTTACCTTAAATCAAATATCTTACCATCTGTAGTGTATTAGTATCAATTAAGATCACTTCATTATATTAAATAGACTGCTTTATACAGTAATAAATACATCTTAGACAATCACTCATTTCTGAGGATGCTAATAGCTTAATGCATATTTACCATTCTGTTAGCATTCATGGTAAAATGAATGCTACAAAGAGAATTAAATTTCTCAATTAGAAAAATAAGAGTTAATTAACAGAAACCAACTAAACCATTAAGAAGGCTTGGGCATAAGACTCTTCGGTATGTAGGACCTATCCAACTTAATTTATTTTAAAAAGATTTACTTAAGTAACTAAGGATTATACAAGAAATAGCACTTGTTACTGGATTCATATTAGTACTTTCAACAAATAAGTAAACCAAAAAAAAAAAGAAGTTAGTGCAATTATGTTTTTTGCAGAGCAAATCACATCACACCACTCTGAATAACTTAAATGTCATTTAATTATGCACGAGTTAAAAAAAAAAAAAAAACTTGGTGGCCCTTTAAAGGGCTTATTTCATGGAAAACCAAAAACTTTATGAAATACAATAAAAATGTATGGCCCATTAGGTTTTCCTTTAAATTTCTGCCTTGATTTCTCACTGACACATTCCTTTATCCTATCTGAGCTGTTTAAAGTCATTTCAGGAAAATGCTTCAGTGGAAAAAATCTTAAGAGTTTAAGTCCTCACTAAAGCTTAGACTAAACAGAATTTCCAGTGGTGATTCACCCTTGACACTGCAATTTAGTCCAAGACTAGGTTTTTGACATTTGGAAAACACAGTGCTGTAAACTGCTTAAGTGTAATCCTTAATTAAGAAGAGCAGTTAATACGTTTAATTGAATCCACTTAAGTACACCCCTTAGCTAAGATAAATTTATCCCTTTAGTTAAATGTTAAAGATGTTTTCTAATTGGTTGTGGGTATCTGTAAATACAGCTTTATCAGCAGAGTGTAATTAACAGGTCTGTACTGAAAGGGCAGAGAGATTGCACTATGAATATCACCACAACAGAGCCAGGAATAGGGGGGCATTTCCAAGCAATAGGCCTATATAAAACACTGCTACAGGACAGATCTGTGCTTTCAGTATCATATTCTCGCTGCAGCTCTCCATCACTGCCTTTACACTGCCTTTCCACTAATGCTCCAATCCTATAGACATCAATTTAAACAGAAAGCGACATGATAGAACATTGACTGGAATAACACTGTTTACATCAGTGCTATAGAGTTTTATTATCCAGTATTGTAATACACAGAAACAACCATATACTTTACCTTGATTAAATTGTTTTTACAAATGTTCTTCATCTGATGCCAGTCTATCACACTGTCATTTAACTTAGATGCAAACCTTTTCCATCACTCTTAGTGTCTAAATATACAGTTTCTCTACACTTATTTCCTAGAGACTGACATGAAATGTGCTTTTGTAAAGGGACCAGCAAGACGGGCCAGGAAGGTGGAGGGAGGCATTTTCTTTGTAAGTATTCTAAAATTTGAGGCTCTGCCCTCACATTAACATCCTGTCCCAGGATGGCTCTGTACTAAACGCATGGTGTATTGTTGGTTCATACTAACAATAAACATGTTAATGTCTTTTCAGAAACACTGACTTTAACATGCAGCTAATGTTACAGTGGGTGCATATTCATTGCAGACACTCTTCACATGAACACTGACCTTTACAGAAGTCCTTGAAAGTCACCAAATATGAAATGTGTGTTATTTAAACAGACACAGTCTTTGCTGGGGAGGTCATAGGCAAAAATGATTTTTGCATCCACAAAGACGTCAGCGTCCTCCGCTGCATTTTTATTCCTTTCTGGAGCAGGTGTCATTAGAGCTTGATATCTGCTCTAAGCCAAGAATAACAATAATGGCTCATTTGCTATTTCTGTAGATTAACAATCAAGCTTTCCTCTTTCAGTGACGCATGTGCAATTTGCAAATGAATACAACATTATATTCGTTTTCCATTTGGAACATATAATGATTACTGAGTCACTGTGAATGGACTCCCTGGAAACTCACAATGATTTGTGATTGTTAAAAAAAAACATTATTACTTATAGTTACTTAGCACTGAACATCTTCCACAGTCTAATGCTCAGTTGCCTCTGTAATATACTTAAAGAAGTACTTCAGTGTTTTTCATCAGTCATCTGTGGCATATGGTCAGTTATCACAGATAATAATTTCTATGTGTTTCTAAACTCAATAGAAGAACAGGAAAGCCCACCGACTTAAAACTCACATATGATAGAATAATATAATATAATAGAACAGTTCAGTTAGTACTTCTCCATCACTCTACCATTGTGGTGGTAAATGGTGTCCCACAACTTTTAAGCCATGAATCTCAAAATACAAATAAAAAACAACAAGTTGAGATCTGTGTATTCCTTGTTCTATTCCAGAATTAACCAAAAAATTACTTTATGAAAAAAAACACTTCACTTGAGTGTTGCTGCATAACATTGACATAACCATGCCATAAAAATGTCATGGCAGATGTCAGACACTGTCATGACAGAGTTTGTTCAGTTCATAACAGTGCTATGCTACCTTTACTGCAATTGTCATGACTGATGTCATAATGTTTGATGTCATGATGGCTTATGCCACATGCTCATTTTTGTTACATTAGTTGCCATGACATCAAACATTATATCGTCTGTCATGACAGTTACTCGTAATGGGTGATATTACACTGTTATATTACTGGACATAATCTGTAAAAAACTAGGCCAATTGTTCTTTTTGAATTTTTTATTTTGGTGATGTTGTGCACAAAAAAACAGCACGTCACACCAGTGACTTCACAGATTCTAAATTTTTATTTTCAGATGAAACAATGATTGTGATGCTTGTTTTTCAGTTACATTTATAAAACTGCAATAAATCGTTGTTTGTTCTAGCTTAAAATGATTTGAAATATATAAATATCATTTTATTGTGATGAACAAATCTTATCTCAAGATTTTTGTCAGTGGTGATACAGAAACATAAAATAAAAAATTATGAATTACTTCCTGTACACTTACAGAAAAAAAAGAAACTAAACTGTCACTGGAGTCGTATTCTCAGAGGTACATCTTCAGTACCTTCAGTTAGAGTGCATAAATGTACAGTAGTCTATTGCGATTATATATTTTAAGCTGGGAAAAACATATTTAAGGTACACAGTTAGATTTTAAAACCACTGTTGTACACTCTTAAAAAAGATGGTTCTTTAAAGGTTCCTTAGTAAAGAAAATGGTTTTATACAGAACTATGAACACTCAAGAAATATGTGATTAGAGGGTTCTTTCCATCATGAGGGTCTTTGCATCGTGAAAGAGTTCTTCAGGCTGATGGAGAATGTGTTGTATCTGTCTATATCTTTTTGAAAAGGGTTCTATATAAGCACCAAAAAGGGTTCTTTTATTGTTATGATGTCAAGCTTGAAGCAATAGCAGAACACTTCGGTGCTCTGTAGAACTATTTTCAAAAAGGTTTTATATAGAACAGTGCACAACACATTAACACATTCTCCATCATGCTGAAGAACCCTTTCATCAAGCAAAGCACCCTCTAATCATGCAAAAGGTGCTTTTTGAGTGTTCCAGGTTCTGTATAGAACCAATTTGTTTGCTAAAGAACCCTTGAAGAACGATCTTTTCTAAGTGTGTACCTTTGAGGGTACATTTGCATTAATTGTACCTTGACGAACAAAAAAAATGTACCTGCACAGAACCTTTATTTCTAACAGTGTGTGGACTTCTTAAATGAAGAATGAGTAACTCTGAGAAATACACAGTTTTTTAAAATACTTTTAATATTATTGATGATTTACTAAATTACTGACAGCTTCATCGATTCTTCTTCAAAGATTATCTCAGCAGTGTCACGTATGAAATGTTCCTTGATTTGAAAATTAAATTAAAATAACAACATAAATGCAATATTTACAATCTTCTGCATATGGTGTGACTTTGAAACTAAAGTGGTAGTGGACTATATTTTGGAAAAACTCAGTTTTTAGCAATTTGGTTAGTGGTGTTATGTTGTTAAGAAAAACAAACAAACGAAAAATTATATATATATATATACTATATATATATATATATATATATATATACTTTTGCCAACACAATGGTAGAATGATCCCTCTTTTATAATATAAAGTTTTGAAGGTTTGTGATCTTTTCTGTACTGCACTGAAATAACTGTCTATGGTAATCGATCATATGCTGCAGATGTGGCTGACAGAGATTAGATCAAAAAGGCTGGAGTATTCCTTTAGTACACTCCAGTTTCCTCCACAAAGCATTCTCTGGGAGTAGCAATGTAGAAATAGTTCACTTTTCTCAAGATGGATACATGTTGAAAGAGACATTCCTATTTTTTAAGCACAGTCCAGCTCCTCCATTTGCACTGATGTCCTGTTCATGTATGTTTTTGTTGGTAAATAGGTGAAAAGTCACCCTGCGGATAAATGGGCCACACTGAGGGCATCTGTCCAAACATTCCTGCTTTAGTTAAAGACAGATCCTGAGGCTTCACAGGTCAGTGTGGCTGCGCTCAGCTTTTAGAGTAATTGCCACCGCTCTGGCAGTGTTAGATGGTGCTATCATGTCCACAGCACCTTCCAAACTACAAGCTGTCAAGGCCTTGGAGTTAAATCTTCATGACTACAGCAGCTGGAGTTCTTTCAAATGTTCTGCCCGTCCTGATCTAACCTGCAGAATCCCCTTTCCCATTGCCTCACCCCAACAGCCCAAACCCCGGTCAGGACCTCCCAAAACCCTCTCGCAGTAATCCCCCTCCTCAGTGAAAGTGACGCATGGTGCCTCATATGGAATGCCGATGTGTTCCTGGGGGAGGAGCTGCAGTTTTTCACTCTGTCACAGATGCTCTCAGCTTACGTGGCCTGTTCTTTTCACATGTCAGCCCCCTGAGAACACACTGATGGGGGGTGGACGGTGGCTGCTCTGAGGGTCGTGCTTTGCTGCACACACACACATGTTTTGCTGTGGCTGTGGCTGTTTCGTCACAAAGCAAAATCCCCTTCTTGCTGTTCCAATCACAGAATCACTGGAATTTTCTACTAATTAGAGACCTCAGAGTCATTCTGTAGTCGGTGTCTAGCCCATATTAGGATCTCTGGATCTAGGCCTGTTTCTCAATTACAAAAAGTTGATTTATGTTGATTTATGTGGTAAACAAAAGTGTTCTGATATGTTCTGTCCTGTGTTTATTTCCCCGCTGAGTGTTGATTCAGTGTGCAGTGCTAGCTTGCATTTTAGTTTGGGACTAAAATGTTCCAAAGCTGATATTTTTTGCCAACAGAGAATTTCGTTAAGTCATTAAGGAGCCGAAATATGTCTGTTACCCACATGAAAGCTAACACTGCTGCACACTGAATAGACATTTTTAATAGGCAACTTCACTAAAATACCTCACATAAACCAATAAGATTTGTCAAATGTGGTAGTTAAGTTGCTTTGGCAGCAGCAGCTACAGGTTGAGTAGTAGGTTTTGGTATATAACAGTGTTGAAGTTGAATAGTAGGCTTGCTTTCATGCAATGTCATTTCAGTGTGTACAACTTATTAGCATATCACAGCATATCATCGCTGTCCAAAAAAAAGAAGTATTTCTATTTTTTGTGATTTTTAGTTTTTAGTTTTCTACATAATTTGAGCTCAGCAGCTAATCTTTACATTGTGTGAAAAATTTATGATGTTCGGACAAATAGAAATGCTCCAAGATTGCTTCTAATAAAATCTCTTTACATTTACTTACATTGAAAGTAAAGAATGTTTTTCCCTCACCTGCAAAGTTAAACTTTAGAGATGCTTGTTTTTTGTTGAACAGTGACACAATGTGTAGCTCTGTTTGCATTTTGATCATTCAGACGTTCCGGTAACATTCAGAAGAGAAATACTCAGAAACAGAGCAGGTTTGGAAGTTTCTTTGTTTACCATAGCATCGTTCTTGTCATAGAGAAAACCAGCTTAAACCTGAAGCTTCTAAAATGAGCATGATGCTGACTACAGAATGATGCACAACTTCAGCAGTCTACCTATTAGCAAGCTGACTCATTACAGCATGCTACCTGGCTAACCTTAGATAAGACTACTAAGAGAGCTTTAACATATTCACTGAATCAAAGAGTCAGTTTAAGAAATTGACATGCACTACAAAATGCTTGACCTCTGCTAAATTAGATGTTTTTAAGCTTTGAAAGTAGCTCAGCTAATGTCAGCTACAAGTACAAACTATGAGACTGCTCCTCTGGGCTTACATGGTTGACTGCAGCAACAGAAAATCAATGTTTTATTTGGTTCCACAAATGAACAAGTTGGATTAATTTTATTAATTAATTTTATTAACTGAAGGATTTTCAAGTAGCTGAGGTGTTTGCTTTAAAGGAATATTGTTCCTGGAAAAGGAATATTGAACCAGGAACGTGTCTTACTTGAAGAAAACATGTTCACCTGGATAAGGACATCTGCTAAATGCTGTAAATGTAGACAATAATACTTGTTCTCTTTTATGTGCACATAAAAAAATACATTTATATGTTTTAAAACGTAAACAGTAAATGTCTTGGCAAAATCAGAATGAATGGCTACTGAATAATTACTGAACAAAAATACCTTACTTACACACTTTCTTAGCACTAAAAATATTTACAGTGTAAAGCAATGTAATTTCTAGACTGACAAAAGTACAGCACTAAATTCTCTTGATGAAAATGTGTACATGATATGCACAAAAATAAAAAATATTATGGCCAAATTGCCAATTCAGATGTTTTAATGTTTATTGATCAGTTTCCTCTGTAATACACAGAAACTTTTGACCTATATGGCCTGTCGTGTTAACGTCACTCCTGAGAACATAACACACAGATTAGGGGAAGAGCTGCGGGTCGTGCTGTGCTGCACACACTGCTGTGGCTGAGTCATCATTCAGTAGAATCCTCTTCCTGTCCATCTTCCCTTTCTGCTGCCCATAGCACACTCAGCACTCAGCAGTCAGCAGAGATGTGACTGACTGCATGCATGGCTGTGTGCAAGACAGTATGTGCTGGTGTCAGTATCTACAGCCAACCTAGGAAACCATTTAGACAGCATGAGAACTTATGTTGATGTGACTAGCACACTAACTGGCAATTACATTCAACTAAAGTTGACATATAGTAACACAAGCAAGAGAATACAAAGGCCTTGGGTGGACATGTCCTGCCTGCTTTTTGAAATGTTGCAAGATCATTTTGGCCAGTTGCAGGATTGTTGTTGAAAAATATACATTGTTTACATTACTAATTAACATTGTTTGATAATGAGACTTCCATAAAATTTCCCATGCCAGAGATATGGGATATCTCGTTATCGTTGCAAACTAAAACAAACTGGAGTAAACATGCACATAAACATCTCTGTCTGTGTGTAGATAAACAGCTAGCCTAGCAGCTATTTTCACTTCCTTTCATGAGTATTAACATTAAATGTGTTTCCAGTGTCTTCATACGGAGCGTTAGCTTCTTAACAAAAGCCTTTTGCCCAAGGCAGACCATTCAGTTAATTCCTGCAAAAATGTATTTCTACCAGTTTTGCAATTGTTCCCAAACTCATTTTAAAATTCTTCTAGTTTATTGTTTTGTTTAGTTATAGTTACTAATGACAAAAAAGAAAAAAGCACTAAGCTGCCTGAATGTTGCAAATCATTTCAACATATATTCAGTGTACTATGATCATTTGATGACTTCGCTGTAACAGTTCTTAATTGACCTTCTCATTTCTGCTTAATTATCATCATCACATCTGTTAATATTGTGTTTTTTTGCAAAAATATTATATCAAAGTGCAGATAAGACAAAAAACACTTTGTAATAGATGCAATACATTTTAATTATTATACAGAATATGTGTCAGAAAATAGATAACATTATTATTTCTGTTACTAATATTGTTTGTTTTTATTGTTTACATTTTGACACATAAAATTTTAGACATCATAACAATATTGTAGCTCTAACTGGAGGCATATTTCGTACAGCTAGTTTTATGTTTACCTTATTGCATGCTGGCTATTGCCTCCTGACATTGCCCTCAGACCAAATTCGCATCTTTCAAAAATTATGAGTCTTTGAAAGATTAAGCTAGAGTGGTCTTAAAATAATTGATGAATTTTATCAGTTTCTGCTCTGGCTTGGTTGGAATTTACAGCTTGGAAGCTGTGGCTAATGAGCTACGGACCCCATACAAAATTCATAGTAACCACACTACTGTTAGACACACACATCAAACAAGTGGAGGGAATTTTCTTATTTTGAGATTTTCGCTTTTTAAGTGACTAGAAGGGATGTATTCCTTCAAAGACCACTAAAACGTTTTAATGACATTATCTGAACACTTCTTTTTTAACTGCCAGTGTACCATTCCTTTTCACCTAATCTTGAACTATAACCCAACTGTGCTTGAAAACATCCTACTAAATGACAGAATGACTCTTTTGGTTTACAGTATGGATAGATTCACTTTTTAGGCATCTAATCTCACCGTAATAGTATCTGAAACCTATGATTTCAACTGAAGAACCTCATGTTTTTAATACAGGGGAAAGTAGTCCAGCTTCAAGACTTACAGAAGTCTACAACAGAGATGTTCAATTCTGGTCCTGGAGATGGTGATTTCCCTGCTCAGACACTTGAACTTCAACTCATCTGTTCATTGCCAGGTTTAGTCAGAGTGTTAGAGCAAGAAAATCACCAAAGTGTGCCCTCCAGACACATTGTAGGCCCCCTGTACCTACAATGTGACTTTGCATTTGATTTTCATTCTTTATGTCTTTACTTGTTTTTGGTATGTAGGCCATGTCTCTAATCACACTTGTCATTCTCCATTCAGCCAAAGCCAGAGAACGCAGTCACGATAGCGGTTTCATCTCGCGTGCTGTTCCGCACAGAGAAAGAGCAGAAGGTGTTTGAAGAGAAAGGTGTGGAGGAATACATCAAGTACCAGATGGAGCACGAGAATGAGCCTTTTTCTCCAGGACCAGCATTTCCTTTTGTTAAGGTAACACAAACACAGAGAAAGCCATGTTAACTGGACTGTAGGCTGTAGAGTAAGAGTGGGTCATATCACAACACTTTGAGACATTTTCTCAATACATAATATGCACCATCTTATCTAGTTTTTCTGATTTAATTTAGGTGTAACATATGTAACAGAGAGAAAACAATCAGTAGAGCCACATTTAAAAATACTATCAAAAACTATTAATACAATGACTTGTATTCAATGTTTCACAGACAGCTCACAACAATTCACAAAATTTTGAATTTCATTCCATATGATACAATAGTTTCTTAATTTGATACATTTTTCAATATAGCAAAAATAAGGAGTGGCTGAAAATGTGCCTTGTTAATGTTTCCATATTCATTTTTAGAGCATTCAACATTGTAAAAGTACAATATTTGAAACACAAGTTGCTCTGTAGAGCTCCAGTGTAACGCTCCACCCACAAACTAATATCTTAGCCCCAAACTAACACACTAGCCATAGCCATAGGCTAACACAATCGTGCCAGGCTAACACAAAAGCCATAAGCAGTGTTCTTTCAGTATTGTTGATATCCACTATCCTCAGAAATACATAATGTGACATAATGTGATGTAATTTATCACAGTAATAAAAAATATCATCATATTGCCCAGCCCTACTGTAAAATCAATGCTCAATTCACAAGAAGACCATGTAACGAAATGAGTTTCTGATGTGAAAAACATAAATTTGTCTCACTTTTTTTGTGAATAAAAGCTTGTTATAATGAAATATTGAAAGCAAAGTTTAATGAAATAAATACAGTCTTATGCAAAAGTGTGGGCACCCTGATCAAATCACATGTTGAGTATGTAAGTAAATATAAGTTAACACTCTCTTTACAAAGAACACACTTCTGTACATTTTATAGCACAATTACTGTCTATTTGCTGAATTTAACATACCGGTGAAAAAGAAAACATAAAATGTGGCCTGTGCGAAAGTAACATAGTACATTTTATAATGTGTGTTTTTTCCCAGCATGTTACACACAGCGAATTAATAGAAATTGTGCAGAAAAATGCCATATTGATGTTCTCTGTAGAGGATGTGTTAGCTTCTTTTCACTTAGAAAATCAATACAACGTGTAATTTGACCAGTGGTGTTCAAACTTTTGCATACAGCTGTAAATGTTCATTGAAATGATTTATTGAAAGCAAAGTTAAATGAATTAAATGGATGTTTAGTTAAATGATTAGATTAGATTAGAAGCAACGGCCTACAATACATTCTGAGTTGATTTAGCTAATAACTTCTAGGAAGACCATTTTATTAACTAAATTAGCTATCAATATTTATACAAACACAAAATGATAAATAAAATTTGGTGTGGACAATAAGTTTCCATTACACACTCTCAAAAATAAAGGTATGAAGCTGTCACAGGGGCAGTACCCCTCTTGTCATGGGGTGGTACCCTCAAGGGTACATCTCAGTACCTTTAGTCAGGGAACATAATTGTACCATAATCCACTGAAATGATATTTTCTAAGTTGTTTTGACTGCACACACCCCTCTCATCTCCAGGCTTCTTATTTTATTGTTCTGTTTTAAAACATTAGGTTATAAAAAGATACAAAAGGTACTTTTCACCTAAAAAAAATTTAAGGTACACAATTGGATCTTAAAACCACTGTTGTACCTTTGAGGACACATTTACACTGTTTGTACCTTGATGAATGAAAAATGTACCTGCACAGAACCCTTATTTCTAGTAGTGTATATTTAAAGAAACATAATAAATTGTATGGTGCGTCAGCCTTTTTCATCTGAGGGCACAGAACAACATCGTACTGAGCAGCTTTCACATTAACAGGACCTCTGTTTGTGCTCTTTCAGGCCCTGGAGACGGTTAACGCAGGGTTACGGGAGCTGTATCCTGACAGTGAGGAGCTCTTTGATATTGTACTGGTGACCTACAACCATGCGCATGTAGGAGTGAGGCTTATCAACACCATCAACCACCACAGTGAGTGACCTTTGACCTCCCCTTCCCTGCCCTTTAACAAAAAGACAAAAAACAAACATCGTCATAAAAACAAATATTATTAGAGTCAAAACAGAAACAGCAACACTTAAATTGGCCAAGTAGTCGAGTATATTGTTGTATACTGTTGTATATTATTGTAGGGGTGATACAATCAACTGGTTTCCATCCAGTTATGCAGTATGTACTTATGAAACATCAGAGTGTTATGCTTTTTAATGGAGCCCTTGACTGTCCTCATCCTGAGGGAAGCCTGTCATGTACTGTCTGAAATCTGCCCTGCTGTTGTTCTTTCTCAAAAAAAACGATGAAAAGCTGGGTTCTTTTCACGTTTGTAAACAAAACACAACCAACCTCCCAGACCTCCCAGTGGCGTCATCTCCGCTGACCTCAGCTGAGTCTCAGATAGACCGATAGGATACCGTCCACTGGGAATATCACCAAATGACCATTTGTCTTCGGCACTGCATTTGAATAGTTTGTGTAACAGCAGGACTCAAAGTACTCAGCATACCCAATTTTGACCACTCAGCTTGGGAACCAAGACAGAGTTTAGCAGAGATGTTCAAAGGCATTTGCTTGTCAGTGGAAGTCTGTGGTGGCTGTGCATTACTGCCTACATTACTGTGCAAAGAAAATAATGTCAAAACAGTATAACATAGGTATAACGTCAAAACAGTGCTAAAGGGAATGTGTTGTGTTCCCTAAAAAGATGTTTAGAGAAATGATGAACCTGCCCATTCAAAAATGCTTTATGCTGTAAATATATTAACAGCATATTGCACTATATTACATTGTTGGAAGGTAATTTGTATAAAACAGTTAAATGTCTAAAAACTGCATTTGACTGTACTTGTAACCTTTTAGTACAAACTAGGCTACTTCTTGTCCTGAGTGGATAAGACTAATGCTAATTTAACTGTCTCAGTGTCAGTTGACATTTGGGCTACTATATGTTTTTCAAACAAGTGATATAAAAACACTCCGCACACACATCTGTGTCAAGGTCATGTATCCAATGTCCACTGATGAAATCATATGCATCAGTAGACCTGAGATGAGGATGTATAGGTCAGATCTCACCAGGTCCTGTCATTTTTTGACATATGTTCTGCTTGAGGTCATACATCCAGCTGGCCAATCATATCTTCCCACAGAGATGTACTGCAACTTCTAACCTTCATGTCATAAGACAGCCACTTCCTGCTCCATTCCCTGCTGTGACCCATCTGGGTGTGCTTTGATCATCCCGGTGGCAAATTCACAAAACCAACAAGCAGTAGCCCATGCTCTGGCCTCTCTCTCAGCAAAGATAACAAATAAGGAGATATTGACTGACATTTTAAAATCATTTTTTTTATATTTCACAATATGTCTGCATGATTAATAGGGCAGCAAAAGCTATTTGACGCAAAAGTAGCTTGACACAAAACTAAAAAAAAATCATCACTGTTGTAACAAAACCTTGTATCTCTGAAATGGCAGACCTAATTTTACACGAGAAGGAAAGAAATATTCTTGACTTTAATGTAAGTTAATGTAATGTGATTTTATTCCCACTACAAAAAGAAAAACAAAAAACAAAAATTGGATCATTTCAATAGGTCAGTTTGTCATGAAATCTTTGCACAATGTAAACAGAAGCTGGTGTTCTCAAATGGTGTGAAAGGGGATTCCACCAATTTTTCTAAATTCCTTATTAAATCATGGTAAAAGAAAGTTAATTCAGAGTAGTTTGATGTAAATTGTGCCATTCTGTATTCTTACTGAGCCAGAATTGTTCACAGTGGCAACGATAGGAACCAGACATCTGAAACATTTAATCAATGACATCAATGACAATGTTTATTGTTATTGTGACAAATTATGTCACAGTATGACACAATATCATCAGTGCTTAAAAACTGCATGTTTGACTACAAAGACAGCATAATTCGTAATGTTTAATTGGATTTAATGCAGCACAGTATGTGAAATGTTGAAATACAAATTGTATTCATAGTTTTTAATAGTATTTTCAAATGTGAATTTACTTTGTCTGTTCCAACTTATCAGATGCCAGAAAATATACATATCACATAGTGTACTGTGAAAACTTCTTAAAGTTTCATGATATTACATTTTTGCCATATTGCCAACACTGATGCTGTGTGATGCCTGAGACATTGTTTTACAACAGTTTTGAAATAAGCTTTTGGTCTTAAACCTTTTTTTGTTTTTTTAATGGTTGGGCATTGTTAGGCAAAAATGTACCACTGTTGCGCCATTATCAACATTACATATACAAACTAAGATACATGCATGTTCATCTGTCATTTTGAACAGCAAATAAGCAAAGAAATTGACATTTTAAGTGTAATTTCTTAACAATTTTTTATATCTCAGTGATTGAATTATGCAGAAATGTAAAAAATTGGTGGTTTTCCACTTAAAAACAAAGAAACAAAAACAAAAAAGAAAAAATAAATGAGTTATGAAGTTTTGATATTGCAAGCATAAACTTGGATTGCTGTCATGCTGCTGTTATGCTAGTGTGCCGGAACCAGTCCTCAGATGAGCTGCCCAAGTGTAATGAATGAATATTTGAACTAAAACATCAAGGAGAAGGTTGGAAAGTCTCCCACGCTCTGCTGTTCATCTCATGGGGAAATGTGTGCGTTAGGGTTCTTCCTGTACCCCCCACTCTCTTAAAATAAACCAGCCAGCTACTGACTCAATCACTTATAAACTTTCACACTTTTTAATCCAAAGCCTCTCATTTCTCCTTTTATCACTTTTTAAAGTATATGCCTGGTCAGTGATCCTCGGTGTTCTGCTGTATTCTCAAAATATTGTTTATTTCTTCTTTTTTTCTATATGGATTAATACACTATGGGCCAGTTTCCCAAAAACTAAGCCTAAACCTAGACTAAACAGAATTTCCAATTTTGATTCACCACTGTTATATGCTTAATCTGTGTCTGGGAAACACTTTAAGATTCATGTCAGTTTCCAGTTATTCTGTAGGACATCATGCTCTTTCTTGCCATGAGCAGCCTGGCTCACAGTGATGTTAAAGATTCCACCTGCCAGCCTTAGTCTAAGCTGAAACATAAACCAGACCACCAACCTCCCAGTGATACCTACTGATGACTTCTCCTTCTGTATGTTTTCCTAGGGCACCATGTGTCATTAGCTAAAGAAGGAGCATACATCAGACTTTCCCACCAGTGTCTGTTTCCCACCATCGTGAATATTCACACAGTAATCTCACCATTCTGGGATAATGCTGCAGTGACAAAGCCTCCTAATTAAATGTCTGGGTGACATTTGACTCTAAAAGATTAAGTCAGTCGAAGTGCATTAAATAGAAAAATCCTGATGGTAAAAGGGAGCTGCTGCTCATTGCTTTGTTGTTTCATGAATCTAAAAATGAAACCCCGTACAGCTTTATCAGCTTATTCTTGTTTGTGTCATAATGCTTTACTGTTTATTGATTCAGGAGCTTAGTGTTGCTGTGCTTTCTTTTTCAGCACATTATTCGCAAACACATTCTTCAGCTAACTTTCCTCTCTGCTGTTCTATGTATAGAATATTATGTATTACTCTACTATGTATAGTAAATGCTAACTATATCTTCTCTTTTCCTTTTCCCCTCCCAGATCTGTTTATTGAGCGATTCTGCATGACAGGAGGTAGCAGCCCCATTGGCTACCTGAAAGCATGGCACACAAACCTGTACCTATCTGCAGACACACAAAAGGTCCAGGAGGCACTGGCTGAAGGTGAGTAGGCCAAGGAGAGCACTGGACTTTGAAGGAACCAGTGAATATGTGTAGTGCTTTGCGAGTTGTTGTTAGATACTGATTTTTTGTTGGTCATAAAAATATCCATTATCGAGCAAAGATTCAGAGAATCTCTAAACAAGGGGTGGGGAACTTCAGAGTCCTGGACTCCTATACAGTTAGGCAGGCACATGCACAGAAGGTCCCCAAGGGGGGCTTGAGCCCCTGCCCATTGCTCTCAGGTTGTATAAGTGCTGTCTTGATTGGTATGAATAATAATAGTGTTTCAAATGGCCATTCTTCAAGATGTGTTTCAGTGAGGCTCAGCCTCACCCCGGGAATAGAACTTCAGGATCAGATTGGGTTCCATAAGCTTAATCGCTCTGGCTCGCTTCTCTGGTTCAGTACTGACTACCCGCAACTCCGACCTTTATGGATCACCACAGAGCAGTAAAGCAAATATAGTTGGTTGCTTTGGGAAAATAAACTGCACTTAGAACATAATAAGTGTAAATCAGGTTTAATTTATGATCAGCCTCTTTTCCCATCCTCATTTTCCCTTTCCCTCAAAATGTAGTAAGATGATTTTACTGCTTAACCATACCTGATTCAACTCATCAATTAAATGCCAGGTTTAACAAGTGTGTAAAGGCAGAGGAGACACCAATCTGTGCTGGACTCCAGTTTCCCACCTCTGCTCATAGCGGTAATGACTTGTAAGCACGAATTTTCCCCTTAATGTATACTAAATGGGCAAAAATATGTAAAAAATATGTGTGCATGGGGGCACAGTCATGCTGGAACAGTAAAGGGCCTTCTCCAAACTGTTGCCACAATGTTGGCAGTATATAATTGTCTAAAATGTCTTTGCATGCTGTAGCATTAACTGGAATATTAAATATTAAATATCACTGGAACTAAAGGGCTGAACCCAAAGCCTGAAAAACAGCCCCAGACCATTATCACTCCTCCACCAAACATTACTGTTGGCCCTATGCATTATGGTGGGTAGCATTCTCTAGGCATCCGTCAAATCCAGATTTGTCCCTCAGACTGCCAGATAATGAAGCATGATTCATTGCTCCAGAAAAGGATAGGCAATTTTTACACTCTTTGTGCTGAATTTGCTGGTCAAGATTTTCCCAGTGTGATATCAGAACTAGAAGTGCTTTGAATATGTACGTGAACTTTTTCAAGTGTTTGGTCTTTCAGTTCAGAATTATAAGTATTACCTTCTTAGTCTTCATTCTTGACTGAAGTTTAAATGTAAGTTTTGAACTGAAAGTTGGTTGAACACTGTAACTGCATCACTGAATCTGTTGTCATCATAGAGTTCTCTGCAGACAACTATACAACTATAAGTACAGTAACTATATTTTTTGCAATGTGCAAGAGAGGTTGTTCAGATATTTTAAAGGCAATCTGGGTAACATTTTAAAATATATCAATTACATGTAATAATCAGATCCCAGTGCTTGTTGTGATTGTTTATTGTGAACACAATGGACTTTTATCAAGCTGTTCATGATGAAATTACTTCTAATTCAACTGACATGTCACCTTGAAAGACCAACAATTTTGAATAGTTCCAGTTGAGTTTTAATGTCCACCATGGCACTGAAGGTTATTAATGATTTGAGACTGAATATGGATATGAAGAAGCCTTTCATTCTAATACTACATTTAACATAGGTGATCACAACATTCACCCTGATGCTCTGCACTAATAGGTTGGCCTTTCCAGCTCAGTCTTATCCTTGTTTATGAGCCACTTTACTGGTAGACAGTACTTAGTGTCATTTGGCAAATTTTCATCTATAAATGCTCTGCTTTATGTGGTGTCCATCAAGGTTCAGTTTTGGGTCCAGCCCTGTTTCCTCCCTATGAGGAATTCCTTTTTTGTAGCTACGCAAAGGGAACACACAAATATACATCTCAGCTTCCCCCAACTGATACATTAATGGTATTCATTAACAGCCTTATAATGAGAATTATTTTTTTACAATTGTACAAGGACAAAATAAAAGTATTAATTTAACAAGGTAAATGTTACCCTCTCCTAAGTACTGTGTCTATGTGTACATGTGACAATCCAATGACCTATTTGTAATGCAAACCACTAATGGGTACCATTCATTACTGGCTTTTAAGAGTCATGGATCCTACTTGTTTGACCTTCATATTGAAGTGTAGCCAGAGCTACTTATTGGCTTGTTTTTGTTTGGTTTTCTCTCAGGCATTGCAGCAGCCACCATGTTTATGCCAGAGAAGCAGATAGAAGTATCAGAGACCCAGCTGAGAGTGGCGTTTGATGGCGATGCTGTTCTCTTCTCTGATGAGTCAGAGCGTATATTCAAAGCTCATGGTCTGGACAAGTTCTTTGAGCATGAGAAGGAAAATGAGAACACGCTGCTGGATCATGTATGTACTGAAATTCAGTTGCTTGTCAATAATAGTGATTATGGTCAATGCATGCTTTGGATGCAGGGCATGAGCGAAGCGCAAGCCTGTGTTGATCTCTCATTTGCTAATGTGATGTTTGTAATGTTTTAATGCTTTGCATCTTTTTATTTTCTTTTCTCTTTTATGTTCATTTACTTTTTTTAAATTCCAAAATGTATTCCAAATGCTAAAAAAGGCAACAAAACAACAACAACAGCAACAACAACAACTACAACAACAACAAAACAATTTTGGCAATTAAATGTTGAGTTATTAGCAAGTTGTAACATTGACAAATTCATGTCTGGATACTTTCAAATGCATGGTGATACTTGGACAAATTCATGTCTGGATACAAATTTCAGCATAATTTTATTGTTAAGAAGTCATACAGAGTGCTTTGATATGAAATGCTCTGTTCTAAAGAAACTTACCGAGTCTTGCCGAGTGAGAATTGCTCACAGTGGTGGTGATAGGAACCAGACATCTGTGTTTTATGGCTCTGAAAACTTCCTCACAAAAAGTTACTGCATAAAACACACTTCTTGATACTGGAGTCATTGTTTTAAGACACTTTTGTGATAAAGCTTTGGCCTAAAACATCTTCTTTTAAAGAACATTTATGGGGGAGAGGTACGTGCAGGGGATTCTGAGGCAAAAAAATCCCCAAAGAAAATGTATTTTTCACATTTACTACTATTTTACCTTTAGGGGTTTAGGTTCACTGGTAATACTGGCTTTATTTTGTCGCTGTCCAAAGAAAAACAAGTATCTCCAAAATGGCAACTGTATAGGAGAATGTAAAATTGTTCCTTTCTTTCGATGTAAGGTAATGTAAAGAGATTTTGTTCCAAGCAATTTTGGACTATTTCTATTGGTATTCTATAAAATGTTCACACAATGTAAAGTGTCCAAATTTAAAAAAAAATGGAGATACAGGTTTTGTTTGGACAGTGACAATTTGCATTATAGACATTATGACCCATGGTTTCTGTCACCACAACTGTAAAGAAATCGGTTTCTCTACAATGTACCATTAGATATCAAAATACACTGAGTGACTTTGTTTAAATCTCAATACCCAAATTCTGAATTTTGAAAAATCAATGGAATAATCATCTCATAACATAATAATCAAATGAAAGAATACAGATTCTAGTATGTTCCTAATAAAATATGTTTTCCTCATTTATTCTGTGTCTGTTCAACTCTTAGGGCCCATTGAAGGGATTTCTTGAGGTCCTGGGAAAGCTCCAGAAGAAGTTCTATGCTAAAGGCCATCGGTTAAACTGCCCCATTCGCACTTACCTGGTAACCGCCCGCAGCGCAGCCAGCTCAGGCATCCGTGCTCTAAAGACTCTCCGTGCCTGGGGACTGGAGATAGATGAAGCGCTGTTCCTGGCTGGTGCCCCCAAAGGCCCTATGCTGGAGAAAATACGACCCCACATCTACTTTGATGATCAGATGTTCCATATAGAAGGAGCAGTGGAGATGGGCGCTATTGCTGCACACGTACCCTACGGCATAGCACAGAAATACCCTCATAAGAAGGGCACCAATGCTGCCAAGTAGCAGAGACAGAACAGAGCAGGAAAAGACAGCAAAGATTCAAATGAATGCACTGCCCTGCATGCCTGAGTGGGCCCTGCAGAGAGACTCGTGTTGTGGATATATATATTTTTTTGACAAGCTGATTTGTCATAAAACACTTTGATTAAAAACTGAACTGAACTCACTGATTGCTGAATTATTTTCATTTTCAAAATGAATTTTACACAACAATGTGCTGCCTCTGCCTGACAAAAGACTGATTTGTCCTGTCTTCACTGTTATTCAACCTCATTTCATGCTTCATTGTGGTTAAATACCTCAGTGCAATTAGAAGAATATTCATCTGCTGAGGTGAAAATTCTTTCCATCATCATCCTCAGTTTCTTTATACATGAAACACATGAAGTGAACTGAGTGTTTAAACTGTTAAAACTGTGTATAAAAGAACATTGTACATTCATGTGTAAAGTGACTTGCTTTGCTTTATGGGACAGAAATATACTGTAACTTTCTATGTTCGTTTATAATGTGATATCAAGTTGTTCTGTCTTGTACATTCATGTGATCTTTTGAATGAACCACTGCAGCAACAAAGTAAGCCATAATGTCCTGAGAAGACATAATAAGCCATAAATAACAGCCTGAAGTGGCCATTATTATTGCTTGTTGTATATTCTTGTACCAACAAAGACAATTGGAATGACCTCTGAGAGTGAAGGTGGCTATCTATTCATGAAAGCAGTATTCAGTTTCTCATCACATCATAATAAACTGAGAAATATATTTTCTAAATTTATTTTCTTGTGCAGTGTATAATATAGCACGGACAGTTACAAGATAGGCATGTAGGTGAGACACTGTATCCAGCAGTTTAATACAGCTGATTATTATATTTGTACAGTTTTTTCCCCCACCCTGCATTTATGATTTGCAGCTTTTATGTGCTCTAAAGTGGACCCACATGTATGTGGTAGAACATGTAAAGAAACAGGCAAGCATCAAACAGCTTTGTAACCAGGCAAACAGCTTCTGGTAGGAAATATTTGAAAGTTCATACTTACTGTTATGAAGTTAAGAGAACAATCATGCTACTTTTTCACAACAGCATGGTACTGTTTGTCACACCATGAACTGAACATCCCATTACAGCAGTTATATGTGCTTGTGCCAGTAACACTACAATATCTTTTAACGATAAAATCATGGATTGATTATGGTTAGTTAACTGAAACACAAAACATTGCAAGCAAAACAAAAACATGTAATATTAGATGAGGTCTGCAAATAAACAAAATATGAAAAGAATGTGTTTTCATCAAGATTTAACATATTGGGAAAAAAACATGTACCATAACTTTTGCACAGGCCACATTTTGTGTTTTATCTTTCTCCAGTATGTTAAATTCAGCATATAAACAGTAATTGTGCATTGAAATGAGCAGAAGTGTGTTCCCTGTAGAGGATGTGTAACTTATCTTCATGACAGAACTTGTCATTTGAGCAGGGGTGCCCAAACCTTTACATACAACCGTAAGAAGTGAGAAAGTTTGTTGATTATTTCTTGCCAGAAAGATTGTATGGGTGAGAAATGCCGGAATGAATGTAATAGATCATCAATAGTGTTAGGAGGGCAATGCACTATACATGCACTGGAATCTGTAAGACCCAAATGAAATTTTATTATGTGAGGCATGTATCCTATGATTCATTTTATATTAAATTTTTTTTAGATTTATTTTTTTTTATTTTTAGACTTTTAATACTTAGTATAGAAAAAGGTGTTTTGCTAATAAGTCCCAAAAGTCCTTTCCGGTTACCGGTAATAGGTCCAGATCCCATTTTTGGGGCTTGGAAGGTGTATAACAGAACCTGAATAATGGATCAGTCTGTATATTTCTGAACCAACACACACTGTAAAAAAGGGCTCATCAGTTCAACACCAAAAAATGACTTTATGTAGTAACAAGTAAATTAATTAGTTTTATTCAAACTAAAAAAATACTTTAAATGAATGATTTTTTTCAATCAGTGTAAGTTTTTCAGTTGAATAAAACTAGTTCAATTGCTTGTCACTACACCATGTAATTTTTTTTACAGTGCATTAGGATGCTATATTAGGACACTGTACTTCCCTTTTTACTCTCCTTTTATCTTAAATGGGGGCAAATGGGTGTGAATTTGTCACAGCATGTGTGGCCATCTGTGTCCTTTAATTGCCAATAATTTTCCTAATTGTGGTTTACATTTAGTAAAAAAGATCAGATAGGCATGGATTAAGCAGTAGATTCCTCTGTTAATTCATTTTTATCATTACGTTTCTCTATTTTTAAAATATTTTACAAATATCCTCCTCAATATCTACAACAGTAATATACTGTATACTTCTGACTGAAAACAAAATATTTGATCAGTTGACAATATTTACAGATACTGCCCTCTTCTGGATAGATCTGTAAATTAGCCTCATTCAAAAACACATCTCAAAAAGACACATCATTTTTAAAAAAGCTATAGAGATTTTGTCAATCTATTAAACTATCAATGGCCAATGATAAAATTGCCTTCTGTATTAATTGTACTCTGGATTTCAAGGAGTCTCTATGTATCTGGACAGGCAGTGAAATTTGGGAACAAAGAGTGAGTATTAGAAGCTTATAAAAAGAGTTTGTTTATTGTAGTACTTTCATAATCTAACATGTTTTTGCTCACTTTTGCTCAGTTTCATAGTAAAACTATATTAGATCCAGACTGATGTTATTGCTTCAATATTTCAGTAACTACAGGCATAAATCAGCAGCTAAACTGATTGACTGTATGTCAAGCAGTATGTTTGCTCCACACAACAGATTTTTTTGAGGACTGATGTGCTCTTGTTCCAGTTCTGGTTTTCTTAGTTCTCAACTGGTAATTAATTAAATTAAAGTCAAAATGGTAAACATTTTAATGTTTTATTTGATGAGGATACATTCTTGTTTGTCCAGGTCATTTACATCACACATCAGTTTTTAAGTTGATTTGATCATTTCTTTTGAAGTATAGGCCTACCACAACCTCTAGTTCTATCAGTCCTGTTTTACCAAGTGAATAGCAGCCAAACAATTATTTAGGGAATGTGTTCTTGGCACAGTTTCGGCCTGTTAAAAGGCCAGTGCCCACTGGTGGGCCCCAGAGTTTTATTATTATTATTACACACTTCTAAAACCTAAGAATAGCTCAGTCAATTTGCATTGAAGTCCCTGTAGGTACCAAATAGCCCAAGTATGCAATAAGCCTGAAATTTATGCCACAGCCTATTTGAGTACTGCTGCTGACCATGTACATCTGTTCATGGCCACAAGTTGCCCATTTTCTAACGGCTATTTCCAGCATGTTAATGCACCATGTCACAAAGCCAAAGTTATCTCAAACTGGTTTCATGAACGTGACAATAAGTTCAGTGTTCTTCAGTGGCCTTTCCAGTTACTGGATCTGAATCCAGTAGAACACATTTGGGATGTGGTAGAATAGAAGATTTGCTGCATGAAAGTTTTCCCAAAAAATCTGCAGGAATTTTATGATCCAATCATGTTAACATGGACTAGAATCTCAAAGGAATGTGTCCAACATCTTGTGGAATTCATGTCATGAAGAATTGAGGCAGTTTTGAATGCAAAGTGAGGCTTTTAGCCAGCATTAGTATAGTGTTCCTCAAGTATTAGTATAGTTCCATAAGGTGCTTGGTGAGTGTATATGGTTATACTGTCATAATGTACATACATTGTGCACACTGTGCATGACAATATCTGTTTTTGCAGTGAATATTAATATGTTGTCCTGTTTGAAACTAAATTTTGAATACTACACATTGACCAACTTTCTACCCCTAATCTGGCAACGTATCTCAGGGGATACATACTTTTCAAAAGTTGCCAAATAACAACAGGAACACTGTTAGACCATTTTTTCTTCATCAGCATATTAAGACAAGAGTTATTATTAGTTTTATGAATTTTTGTTATTGTTTTATTGAAAATAACTATGATTCATATATAATTACTTACAACCTGATCAGTTAGTCCTGCACCAGTTGTGGGTATAATGATTTCTCAGGCTGACTAAATGATGACATATAAATTAAATCAAGACATGTGACCTACATACTAATACCAAACAAGACTTTTGATAAAGGATAACTAAACTGGCTGAAAACCTTCAATCACACCCCCCACAGGATGTTAAAGATTTTGTAACTCCTAGTGCACATTGTCTGTTTGAGGGTTAAGTTGTTTTTTTAAGTTTTCTGTCCACATCTGCCTTTGTTTACTTTCCCTCTTTTGTCTTGCCATGTGCTTTTGTTTTGGCCTCCTTGTCATCTGTCTCACCTGTGTGTAGTCTGTAGCCCTTCTCTCTCATTAGCCCCAGGTGTTTCTTGTTTGTTCCCTGTATTCTTATACCCTTGGTTGCGTGCTTTGTGGTTGCTTGGTGTTTTGGTTTGTTAGGCCCTGTTTTGTTATCTCCTCTCAGTTTAGCACTTTTCTTCATGTCCTTTTGTCTTTTGTTTTCTTTCTGTTTAAGTGCTTTTGTCATTAGTGTTCTTTCCTTGTTTTATTGCTTTTGTAGATTTATTTTCTTCTATAGTTGTCAATAGATACAAGGACTTACACATGCATCCTGCCTCTTCGTCTCTCCCAACATTACAGAAGGACTATGCATCAGGCAAAAAACAAGACGGTGTAGACATATAGTAACTGTACAATATATCAGAACATGATACTGTGATTCTGTTAAACAACTAAGTCTGCTTACAAGCAAACTACCACTATTGTATAGACAACCTTTCAGTTTATATCTTTACAGAGTACAAAATAATCACCTGAATATCAGCTACAAGGCTCAAATGTCCATGTTCAAGCTTGAGCTGCCATAAAATAGTAACCACCATAGTTAGCTTGGTGCTAACATATTGTAAATCCCTTATGGATGATAACAGAAATTAGCATTATTGTAGTAAGGAACAAAAGCTACTTGCCAATGAAAAGATTTCTGCATTAAACATTGCTATGTAATAGCATGTGTGGCTAGACAGTACTCATGATTTTATGACTGTATCTAGTTCTCAGTGTAAACAAAATTAAAAATTAATGAAACGACTGGAATATGCTTGTTGGTACAGTTAGGCTACACTCAGTTCAGTGTCTCAGGGTCTTTGTAAACTCCTGTCTTTGGGAGCCCCTGTGTGGACTGTCATGCTCACAGCACAAACGCATAACAGAAAGGGAAAGCTACAGGCTACGGAGAGAAAAGAGGCTGATCCTAGTATGTCACAGCGTAGTATTTTATTTTATGAATTTATGTGAAAGCCAGTGTTTTACAGATTTTAATCAAATCAGGCACATTTAGGAAAGATTATCTTGCATGAGGCATGAGAAATGTAGCCACATACTGAACTGAATCGTATCAGATCTCAACTGGATCACATTGAATCAGTAGACAATTGTAGTATATTGAACAATTTAATTTAGTGTATATATACATATATATATGTGCATCATGTCATGCCTGTTAAAGAGTTTACATCATAGAGCTAATGAAATCATAAAATCACTCTTCATTTCTTACATTTTGGAATTTTTATTTATTACATTTTTTTTATTTATATAAAATTTTGATTTTTTTTCTGTCCTGCACCTCCTCTGCATCACTTTAGGTGGCAGCAGTGACATTTGGCTGAACATTGCAGTGAAACTTGTGGTAAATCTACTCAAGAATAGAATTTATTCTGTTTAAAAGCAAATGAGCTTAAAAAGTAGCTTTATT